TCTCCCTAGACTCCCCGGGCAGCCAGCTGAGAATGTGGCCCCCCCTAATCTGTGGATCTCAAGGCAGGAATTTCAGTATCATTAGCCCAAATCTTGCCCACATTTTTACCACTCTAACTAGGGGAGTGTTGTGAGATTTTAAAAACCCCAGTATAATTAAAGGAGCATGCCTGAGTGTGTAGACAAAGCATTCTGAACCCTTTAAAGGATGCCAAGGAGGAGCAAGGGGAGGGGAAACGCAGTTCCTGGTGCTTGGGAAAGGAGAGGTCTCTGGGGCTTTGCATCTTGCTTTTTGCTTCCACAGCACTATGCAGACCCAACCTCCCCCTTCAATTATTCATGTACCATTCACTTCCCATCACTGCTGCTTGGGTTGCCAGAACCCAGCAGTCACTCGTGAGCTGTAACAGGTAAAGAAAAGAAACCCACTCTTCCCTTTCAAACCAACCAGAAGTAGGAAGTCTTTGGCAAGGGCTGGGGGGATGACTGGGAACAAGATGGAATCTGTGGGACATTAGTGTGTAGCAAGATTCATGCCCGGAGCCGCTGCTCAGCCAAGCTGCATCCTGGGGCAGGGACTATGTTTTTGTTCTGTCTTCATACAGTGCCTAGCACAATGGGGTCTGACTCCTGGCCCATGACTGGGGCTCCTAAGTGCTACTACAATTCCACAGAGCAGTGAGGTTTAGGAACGGCCTCCCAGTAAGAGGACTGGAAGGCAAACAACCTTGTTTCTGGGATTCTATGACAGGGTTGCCTACAATAGCAGGGACTGGACTCAGTGATCCAGGAGGTGCCCTACAGTCCTATGTTCCTAATACAAATAATAAAAATGAATAGCAGTAACGAATTGGATGAATAGAGCTGGTCAAAAAAATTTTCATCAAGATGTTTGTTTGGACAAAAATGGCTTTTTAAACAAATACATTTTCATTGTGCTGGAATTTTTCCTTTTTATTTAGAATGAAAACATTGCAAAAAGCAAACATTTCTAATTGTTGTTTTGTTTCAATGGTAGGGGGCAGGGGGGCCAACCACTCACTTTAAAAATAATTCTCCACTGAAAAAAGAGGAGAGGAATAGTGAGAGAAAATAGGTTTCTCCCCTCCCACACTGAAACCAATTTATCCAAGTCTCTTCTCATTACTCATCTGAAGCCCTCTCATTATTTCCACTATATCTTTTGGGTGGCCAGAGAGACATAGATCTTAAGGCCAAAGGGGACCATTTCTGCTGTATCATTTCTGAGATGAGGATGACCAATGAGTTTAGGTCAGAAGGGACCAGTGTAATCATCTAGTACAACACTGCCCTAAGAATTCCATCCAGTGACTCCTACACTGAGGCCTGGCCCAGAAAAACACTCCGATTACTGTGTTATCGTTATCCCCATCCTCTCATGGAGCCAGGCTGTGCATGAAGCAGAGACTGAAATAGCATGAGACAGCTATGGATTCCCAGTCACCAGTCCAGATTTCATTTAGCTAAAACCTCATCTAATAATACAAAAACCTCCACAAGGTTAGGAAATGAATGATTGATCTGTCATCTGGTGGGGGGGCGTTGTCTCCTCCCCCCGCCCCCCAGCATCTTGAAACTGCAGTCTAGATTGGTAGGACTGATTGGAGGCGCACTAGACAGCTGTCTACTCCTCAGGGGAAAACACACACACTAACTTTTACCCACCCCTGTGTACAAAATGGGCCAGATCCCCAGCTAGTGTAAATCCTCAGCTGGTGCAAATCACTACATTGGCTTCCATAGTGTGATGCTGTTTGAAACAGCTGAGGGTCTGACCCTAAACACTTGTTTTATCCCCACTTGGTGCACAGAAGATGTCTGTAGTGTATTAATGTGTGAAACTCACCCCTGTACAAAGACCCAGCAAAGACTCTCTCACCTTAAATGGTGCAAAGGCTTTGTGCTGGCCCCTCTACACAGGAGTGAATATCACCTAGGGCTGCCTGGTCCTTAAGATTTACTGGGGCTCAGCGGTACCAACAGCCTTGCTACTAGCAGTATCACCAACCTCAAGAGATCAGAAATAGTGATTCAGACCCAGAAAAATCAAGATCAGCCTAGAAAATGAGATATTTAAAGACTATTGTACATTTTGGTCTGTCTTTTGATGTTTGAACTCCCCTGCCTACACCAGCCGGGGAGGAACAGGGCCGGGGGGGGGGAGAATGACGACAATGAGGGTTGCCAACTCTGACTGAAGCTATTCCAGGAAATTTTTTTCCCCCAACATGGGGGAAATATCCTGGATTGCTTTCAATAGTCACCAGGAGATCGATGCCGATTCTGGGAGAGGCTCTGGGGGACTCCAGGCCAATCCTGGCGGGTTGGCAACCCTATTGACAATTAGTGCTGCCCACTCCCCAGAATGTATTGGGTAAGGTCACTTTGGCCCCTGCTGCAGGAGCTCTCACCCCCTCATCCACCCATCCCCTGTCCAGCAATTAATTCTGCCCCCCAACCCAACAGCTGAGCTCCCCAGCCCCTCTTAGTCCAGCCCTGCTCAGTTCAGCCCCCCCAGCCTCACCTCTGTTCCTCCTGAGGCTCTTCACCCCCCTCTCCTAGTTGGGGAGCCGAGTGGGATCCTCCCTACCCCTTCCTGGCTGGGGGGCAGCTCCAGGGGCTCTTTAACCCTCTCTGCCCCTTCCCAGGCTGAGTGCTGCAGGCCGGGGGCGGGGGCAAGGAGCAGAATCACCATCCTGTCTGAATTGCTCGGGGCGGGGGGAGGCAGAGCTGTCCCGAGCTGCTGGGCTCTTTAGCTCCCTCCTCCCCTCCTGTGAGTATGGCTTTGGGTTGCTATGGGGTCTTGGGGAGCGGGAGCCAGAGGGAGAGGGGAAGAGAATTCTGCCTGCAGCAGCTCTATTTGGTTACTCTGCCCCAGGAGGCAGACAAGTTGGGCAGATAGCCAATTAGAGGACTCAAGTTCACTAGAAAGCTGGTGCTTCTCACTTCATGGCATGAGTGGCTCCAACCCCAGCCAAAATCATGTCTCTTGATAAAGAAATCTTAGACCATGGCTTAGAAGTGGGCAACACTCCAGGAACATGAGTCATGTGGCTAAAGTGCTGCAGGGTGTAGTACTGCCTGCTGCCACTGGGGGAGCTGGAGATGCTGAAAACCTTCACCAGATCAGCCTCCAAGATTCAAGAAACAGCCCGGAGTAAACAGGTTGCTTGTTTAAACTTGTTTTGAAAAGCAGCATGGCCTTCTACATCTTTTCCAAAACTAGAGCCCTTGAGCTAAGCCACTCCATAAACCAGCAGCAGTATAGGGCATAAGACAACGTTAATCATCATAGTAGATTTACTTGGACTGGAAGCTCTTTGAGGCAGGGAGCTTCCATCTCTTTGTTCTGTGTTTGTATAGCACCTAAAGCAATGGGGCCCTGGTCCATGACCAGGGCTCCTGGGCACTATCCCGGTACAGATAATAAAATTACACACACATAGTTACACTGCTCTGATTCCATCCATTTATACTGCACACATAAGGTCGTTCATTAGAATACTTAGCAATGGCCCAGCAGCTAGCGCTAGGCTGGGCTAGGTTTCACTAGACCTGGGTTCTATGCCCGGCTCTTTCACTGACCAGCCGTATGACCCTCAGCAAGTCCCTTCCCCTCCCTGTGCCTCTGTTTTCCCTCCCAACCTTTATCTGTGTAATTATAAGCCCTTTGGTGCAGGGACTGTCTCTCGCTGGGTGCCCGAGCAACAACTAGCACAACAGGGTCCTGATCAGGTGGGGCTAGTAGGAGCTGCTGTGATACAGTAAATATTATGTGGAGAGGGATGCCGTCCAATTTTCAAAAATAAGATTAGGTTAAAATAAAATTAGGGTTTTTCTTAAATTGAGGATTATAAAATTAGATAAAACAAATAAAACTAGATTAGATAACAATGAGAATTTAGCTAGATTCATTATTATTAAACTTAGATACACTAAATAAGACTAGAAAAATGTTGGAGAGACAACGTGGATGAGGTAATATCTATTATTGGACCAACTTTTGTTGGTGAAGAGACAAGCTTTTGAGCTTCACAGAGCTCTTCTTCACCTGAAAGCTCGAAAGCTTGTCTCTTTCACCAACACATGTTGGTTCAATAAAAGATATTATCTCACTCATCACGCACGTCTTTCATATCCTGAGACCAATATGGCTACAACACTGCAAACAAAATAGAAAAATATTTGAGTTATTTTTTGTATTGGGAGGTCTGGTTCTCTTTCTATTCCTGGAAGTGTGTGAAATAGAGGAAGTCAACAACCTTTTTCCCCCAACCAAAAATTACTTTTGAAATAAAAAACAGATTTTCTCATTTTTGGTTTGATCAAAATTATCCTGTCTTCCGCTCCCTAACAACAACAAAACAAAATGAGAATAGAAATGTTTTCATTAAAATGTGAGTTTTCTACAAATGAAAATTTTGTAAGAAAGACCAAAAACATTTGGTTTCCAATATTTAATTGGGGAAAGACGAAAATAACTTTCTGCAAACTTTTGAAGGGGAAAAGTGAGCTTTTTTAAATTTCTGGTGAAAAATTAGTATTTTTCAGCCAGCCCTGGGATACAACATGTTAATAAAAATGATATCTAGTTCTTCCATAGCACGTTCCATCCATAGATCTCAAAGCACTTTACAAAGGAGGTCGATATCATTATCTGCATTTTATAGATGGGGAAACTGAGGCACGGAGTAGGGCAGTGACTTGTCCAAGGTCACGCAGCAGCCCAGTGGCAGAGCTGGCAATTGAACCTGGGTCTCCTAAGTCCCAACTCAGTGCCCTATTGGTGTGGTTCTTTGTCTTTCCCAAGTGGTGTATGCCATATATAGCCATTTGTAAGCCTACTATTGCCCCCTGGCCAAACAGACTTTTCAAGGGTTACATGAGCTTTGCTTTAATTCCTTCCTAGGACTGGGCTGTGGTTTCCTTTGCAAAGCTGAGAACTTATTCACTATCGTGCCTCCTTCCTTATTCCACAGCTGTCTCTGTTAACCGACACTCGGAATCAGAAACAAGGACAAGAAACAGGTTTCTCTCTTTCTTAGGAATCCCGGTTATTAAACGTGCCAAGAATTCATCAGTTATTTCCAGGCATCTGGTGTTTGGTTGCATGGAGGGGTGTGTCTCCCCATGAGAATATTTGCATTTCCCCCTGTTTGCACAACTCCACCTCCATGTGCATGTACATGTGCACATGCATATATGCATTTCCCATTTCCCAGCCTGAATTGGGCATTATTCACACAGAAGCTGAACAACTTCACAGATCAGCTCCGGTGAGTATATTTTGCTCCTGCTGCTGCTACTGTGCAATAAACTCTGAGCCACTGGCAGACCTTAGAGAAACAATGGGCACTGGGTGGAGGGATTTGTGGTGGTAAACTCTGGACTGTGATTCAGTAGGTCTGGGTTCAATTGCCAGCTGTGCTTCAGACTCATTGTGTGACCTAGGGCAAGTCAGTGCAGCATGCCTCAGTTTCCCCCTCTGTATAACAGAGTTAATAATCCTTTGTCTGTCCAGAATGCAAGCACTCTTGCTATGTGGCTGTACTGGGCCCTGATTTTGGTGGGAGCTCCCAGTTGCTACCATAGCACATATAACAACAAGGAGGAGCAGTGGCAAAAGGGTCTAAGTATATTTCACTTGTGTCCTTCAAAAGCTGGACCATGTTAAGGCAGATTCTTCCCAAGGATTTTTGTTTTATTCCAGACCGGAATCTTAGTTGGCCAGCCATTAACAGTTCATGTTACTCTCTTCCTTCTGGTGTTTTGGCCAAGATGGTTTTAAAAAGTGACAGTTGATTTCAGGTGCCATTTGGGGGCGGGGGGACGGGACGGGACTGTCCAACTTCAGATACCTTAAATGGGCCTGATTTTCAAAGGGCAGGTAGCTGATGCTCTGAAGGTGTCTCAAACTGTACCTTGTAGGTGGCTGGCCTGTCTCTCCAGCCCAGGATTAATGCCATGCCTAGGATCTGTTCAGGGCCTTTCATCAAGCCACCATTTATTAATTGCAGTGACCTTTAGCAAACCCCAAAATAAAGCAGTTCAGCATAGAAACCACCTCTTTTCCCCTGAGCCAGGGTTTTCTGCAAAGGCCTATACATCACAGGTTCCTACTCTACCGGCCACTTACCTGAGAGTAACCCTGCTCCCTATCGCTCTTCCCCTCCCCCCATCTTGACCCAGCAGTTTGCTGCCAGATTCTCTCTGCTTCTGCCAGCTCTCGCCACACCTGCATCATTTGCTGGCTTTTATAATCATCTGACACCTTTCCAGCTGGGTCTGATCAACCCAAACACCAGTTCTTAAAGGCACTCTGCCTTAGAACAGAGGTGGATGATCCCAACCCCCCTGGCCTATAAAGGGGTAGACCTCCCTGTTACACACATTGAAAAAACAATGCATTCAAAATCATTAGTCAATTTCAAAACTTTTGGACTGTATTTTTCCTGAGCTCTTGACAGTTCTAGATGCTAGTGATCAGAGAAACAGGCATTTTCTCCTACCAGTGTAGCAGGAGAGTTTGATTTGCTATCGTTCAAATTCTACTGCTGCCAAGTTTTCTGGGGGCTCCTTCTGTGCTGCTGGGAAAGCACCTAGCTACATCCTTGTCAACTGCAATGAGGCAAAAGTACCTCCTAATAGCCTTGTTAATTGCAGTTAGGTGGAGGCAGCTTGGAATTGTATGCAACAAGCCAACAGGTCACCTAGCTCAGAGGATGTGGAGCTGCAACCATATGGACTGGACCACGAAAGACAAAGGTTGGATGCAACAAGGACAGAGATTGTTGCATGAGGTTGCACACTGGTAGATTAGGGTAGATTCCTCCCCCTACCCTCTGTGGAGCTTCACTACACTAAGCTCCTGTCAAAGTTTGCTTGGAGCAAAAATTGAACCTGTCCCTTTTACTAGAGATAGAACAGCTGTACACTAGGGCCCCTATAGGGTTAAGGACCCAAACCTGCATCATTGAAATAAACAGTAGTTGTGATATTGTCTTGAGTGAAAACAGGGTCATGGTCTAAATGTAGCTATTTGAGGGTTACCTAGCAGTGTTGGAGAGCCGTGAAAAAGTAACTACTTTTCATTGATACAGGTGGCCTCCAAAATGTGACGTCTTAGATGTGTCAGTGCCCCACTACCATGGCAACATCATTGGACTGGAGAAGGGACATGAAGTTTCAAAGAAACAATCTTGATAGCAAGGTGAGTATCCTGTGATCTCCTTTGCCACTCCAGGCAATGGGCTCCAGGGTCCCTGAGATCCAACCTTCCCATTGGCTCCCTCTTCTTATCATTTGTATGGTAGTGTGTAGGGCACTGCCTAGACCCTGACCGAGATCAGGGCCCCCATCATGCCAAGCGCTGCACAGACACAAAGTAAGAGATGGTCTCTGCTCCAAAGAGCTCACTATCTAAATAGACAAAGGTGAGAAGTGAAACAGGCACAGGAAGGGGAAATGACTAGACCAAGATTAATAGCAGAGTCAGGAATTGAACCCAGGTGTCCCAAGCCCCAGCCCAGTGCCCTCTCCATTAAAAAAAACTGCCTTTCTGCACAGAATGTGACTTACCCAAGATCATAGAGCAACCAAGCCAGGAATGAACCCAGATCTCCTACCTCAGTGCCCTCGCTACCCAGCACTTGGGTGGGGGGAATTTCATGTCAAGTTGAACTAAAACTGAAATCTTTTCAACATTTTTGGCAAATCAAAAACTTAAAAAAAAATATTTTGGGTCAATGTTTTGTTTCAATTTGAATCATTTAAATTTTTGAATTTTTTTTTAAATAATTGAAGGAAATTTCTGAATAAAAATTGTTTCAAACCAAAAAATTGAAATGTTTAATTTACAAAATGTAACATTATGATTGGAGGGGTGGGGGCTGAGGGTTTTATGAAATGAAAATTGAGCAAAACCAACATGAATTCACAAAACATCTCAGTGTTGCCAAATCTGCATTTTTCAAGGAAAAAAATATCTGAAAAATTTCATCCAGCTCTAAATCTGACCCTTCTCCCAGCTCAGTCAAGTCTCTTTCCTCATTCCAGGAGGCCTCCCCAGACTGAAGACCCCTGCTCACCTTTCTTCTTCCAGCCAAGGGGCTTTGAATTGGAGTGGTGGGACCCCCAATGTCATCCCAGTATGCTATTCTGGGAGAGGTGAGACCCCACCCCAGCACCATGAACCTTTCTAATGTCCCACCAGGCCTCAATGGCTCCCAGGGAGGCCCCGGGCCTATCCTGTATGGGGGCCATTCTTTGTGGCAGGTGGTGTTGATTGTGCTGATGACTGGGATCCTCTCACTGGTCACAGTGGTGGGCAACCTGCTTGTGATGGTCTCCTTCAAAGTCAACAGCGAATTGAAGACAGTCAACAACTACTTCCTACTCAGCCTGGCCTGTGCTGACCTCATCATTGGGGCAGTGTCTATGAACCTCTACACCACCTACATCATCATGGGCCACTGGGCCCTCGGCAACGTGGCCTGCGACCTCTGGCTGGCCCTTGACTATGTAGCCAGCAATGCTTCAGTCATGAACCTCCTGATCATCAGCTTTGACCGCTACTTCTCTGTCACACGGCCCTTGACCTACCGGGCCAAGAGAACGCCCAAGAGGGCGGCCATCATGATCGGCCTAGCTTGGGCCATCTCCTTCATCCTTTGGGCACCCGCCATCTTGTTCTGGCAGTACTTTGTTGGGGAGCGGACAGTGCCCTCAGGAAACTGCCATCTCCAGTTCCTCTCTCAGCCTATCATTACTTTTGGCACGGCCATTGCAGCCTTCTACCTGCCGGTCACCATCATGATCATTCTCTACTGGAGGATCTACCGGGAGACTGAGAACAGGGCCAGGGAACTGGCTTGCCTGCAAGGCTCAGAGAGCAAGAGCATTGTCAGGCCACCCCCCAACAACGGGCCTAAAGGAGGTGGCGTAGGCAGCAACAGCAGCTCCGAGCGGTTGCAACCCATCAAGGTTTCTTCTGCTGTGGCAAAAGCCCACACACAGGCCTGCTGCTTCCCCAGTTGGAAGAAGGCCAGACTATATGTGGAGCAGAGCAGCAATGGGAGCTGGATCAATACAGAGGAGGAGGAAGAGGAGGACGGCTCCCCTGATTCCTTGACATCGTCTGAGGGAGAGGAGCAGCCCTTTGAGGTTCAGAGTGTCTGCTCGGTGGTGATCCGGCTGCCTATGATTGGCAGTGTAGCGCAGCCACCACTGCCAACACAGAAGCCAACCCGGGACCGGGAGAAGCTGGCTGGAGGGCCATGGGCAGGAAGGAATGGCTTGTGCAGGATCCTAGCCCAGTCTCCTGCTGCCCCCGAGTCCCCCAACATGGCCAAGAAGCCGTCAAACAAAAAGATATCACCAATGAAGGAGAAGGGGGCGTTGACTGCCAAAAGCCATCTGCGGAAGAGAAGCAAACAGCTCTCCCAGCGGAAGACCCTCTCCCTGATCAAGGAGAAGAAAGCAGCCCGAACACTGAGCGCCATCCTGCTGGCCTTCATCCTCACCTGGACACCCTATAACATCATGGTGCTGGTGTCCACCTTCTGCCAGGACTGCGTTCCTAACAGCCTCTGGAAGCTGGGCTACTGGCTTTGCTATGTCAACAGCACTGTCAATCCCATGTGCTATGCCCTGTGCAATAAGTCTTTTCGCAATACGTTTAAGATGCTGCTGCTGTGCCGCTGGGACAAGAGGAGGTGGGGGAAGATGCCCAAGCACGTGGTGGCCTTCCACAGGGCTCCAGCACACTGAGCAGGCGTGGGGTGAATTCCAGAATGGTGAGCCAGGCACAGCCAGTGTTGGGAGCCAAATGAGGTGGCGGTGGGGGAGAGGGGGAGAATGGAAATTAGCTTCTAAGGTGGGAAGTGGAGGGTGAATCAGACCATGAATTGTTGAGACTGTATGGTGGAGATTCTCAAACTGTGGGGTGTGCCCCCCAGGGGGATACGGAAAAATGATGGGTGGGGCAACCCCCACAGGAGGTGGGGAGGGAGCGCCACCCAGCCTTGCTCTGCTCCGGCCCTGCCCCCAGCTGCAGGCCTGGCTCCCGGCTCCGAGACACCCCCAGTCTCAGCCCCCGACTGGCCTGGATGCGGCTCCATTCCCAGCCCCACTCCCATCCCCATGCCCAGCTGCAGCCCCAGCCTCAGCTCCCTCACCCTGGTCTGCATCCCGCCCTGCCCCCCTCACCCTCAGCTGCAGCCCCACTCCCAGCCCCAAGAGGGGGGGCGTGCACAGAAGGAAGGGGGAGGCATAAGCCTGAAAAGTTTGGGGACCACTGCTGTAGGGTATCCCTGCGTCATCAGTTGTGGCTAAGGCCAGCACTGTTAAAGAGCATGGAGGGGGACAATTCCGCTCTTGCAAACATGCATGCACTTTGCAGTAAACTTCATCAGTTTAAGTGCCTACAAGGGGAACAGAAATTTGATAATAAAGGGCTCTTCAGTCTAGCAGACAATTAGGATCCTAGTTAAAAACATGCTTTATAGTGGAAGATTCAGGGAACTCAGTCTATTTAGCTTATCTAAAAGAAGGTTAAGGGGTCTATAAGTATCTACCTGGGGAAGAAGAGCTCTGTGTAAGCTTGAAAGCTTGTATCTCTCACCAACAGAAGTTGGTCCAATAAAAGATATTACCTCCCCCACCTTGTCTCTCTACATGGGGAAGAGAAATTTGATAATGGAGGGCTCATTGAACTAGCAAAGGTCTAACAAGAACCAATGAATTCAGACAAGAAATAAAGTGCCTGTTTTTAACAGTGAGGGGAATTAACCATTGGAACAATTTACCAAAGGCTGTGGTGGATTTTCCATTGATGGCAATTTTTAAATCAAGATTGGACAGTTTTCTAAAACATCTGTTCTAGTTCAAACAGGAATTATTATTCAGGGAAGTCCTATGGCCTGTGTTATACAGCCGGTCAGATTAGATGATCACAGTGGTCCCTTCTGGCCTCATAATCTATGAATATAAGAGTGGGGACTCCACTGCCTCCTGCTGAAGGATGAATGGACTTGGTGGAAGTGGCATGGATGGTGGGTGGGACAATGCAGATCCTGGACACTGCTGAGTGGAATTTGGCCCTGGGAACTCATCATGTGAAAACAATTAATACACTAGACCAAATCTTTCCTAAAAGGGCTCTATGCCAGCTCTAGGAGTGGGATCTGGTGGGTTAGAGCAGGAGGAAAGTGGGAGTCAAAGACTTGTGGGTTCTATTCCCAGCTCTGGGAAGAGAGTGGGATCTAGTGGTTACACAGTCAGTACTAGGGGCCAGGACTCTTGAATTCTATTCCCAGCTCAGGGAGGGCTGTGTTGCCGCTGGAAGCCGAGGTGCCAGCAGCTCTTATCAAGATATAACAAGCAAATGTATTACGAGTGTCTCAGTTTGCTGTTCCTTGCCTTTTTCCCCTAGATTAAATCCTGGGCTGGGATGAAGAATGTCAGGCAAACTGCACTGCAGCGGAAGAATGGGACCTGGCTGTGATGCCAGAAGGGGAATTCTTCCGAGACGATCATGAACCCAGCCTTTGGGGTCTGGGTGAGGATACAGCCGGCAGGTGCCGGAACACCATGCACCATTTATTATTGTAATCTTGAACTCATTGTCAGATAGCGACTTTCCTTAAAACCTTGATGAATGTGGATGTATCAAAAGGAAAACAAATGGACAAAGCTGGCTCACGTAGTGCTCTGTGGTTGAGATAAACTGATTTAAAACCTGGTTTAAAATCTAAGCCACAGGGCCATTGAAACCAGGGATCCATGGTTGTGACATGACCTCTTGGGATTTTCAGCTCTTTCCAGTCTTTATGCTTTGACTAAGAGGACACTTGACCTTCCACCCATTCAGCCACAGAGACAAGTGCAGTCTAGCCATCCTACTGCTTAGACCAGGAAAATGGGAGTCAGGACTCCTGGCTCTTCATGAGGAGTGTGTCTAGTGGTTAGAGTCAGAGACTGGGCTGGAAGGAGAGAGGGCGTCTAGTGCTTAAGAGCAAGGACCGGGGGAAGACTCTGGCATTCCAGCTCCAGTTCTGGGAGGTCAGTGGTGTCTAGTGATTAGGGCAGAGGAGAATGGTAGACAGGACTCCTGAGTTCTTCTATTTCCCAGCTCAGAGTCAGAGACTGGGAATCAGATCTGGGGGGCAGGGAGGGCTAATGGGGTAGAGTAGGGTGGCACTGGGAGCCAGGAGTCCTGGATTCTATTTCCAGCTCTGGGAGGGGAGTGGTGTCTAGTGATTAAAGGTGGGGGTGTCTGGGCTCTGGAGTTCCATTCTCAGAGCTTGTGACCTTGGGCAATCATGGGTGGTAAAGCTTCATTGGTTGAGTTTTAGAAAACACTTTGTAATCTGGGGCCAGTGAGGTGCAGAGTATCATTACACTGCACTAAGAGAGATGAAAACTGAAGGTGACATGGGGAAAGATGACAGCTGGAGTGGGGAAAGACAGCAAGCACAGTTGCACCTCCATTCTTCCCATCAGGGTCTTAAAGTGTCCCATTCAACCACATGGACACAGGATACTATTAATAACTCACTCTGTCCCTGGCCTGCTCACAAGGATTAGTGTAGAGAAATTCTTCCCTAGTCCCTGTTGGAGTGGTATAGAGGGGCATGGATGAGCATCTCTCTAAGGGGGTTATATAGGCCCCATTACCATAATATCTAGCCACCTCACAATATTTTAATTAGGGTTAAGTGATTAAAAAAATTATTTGTGATTAATTGCACTGTTAAAGAATAGAATACCATTTATTTAAATATTTTTGGATGTTTTCTACATTTTCAAATATATTGATTTCACTTACAACACAGAATACAACATGTACAGTGCTCATTTTATTTTTTATTACAAATATTTTCACTGTAAAAAACAAAAGAAATAGTATTTTTCAATTCACCTAATACACGTACTGTAGTGCAATCTCTTTATCATGAAAGTTGAACTTACAAATGTAGAATTATATACAAAAAACTGCATTTAAAGTTTTATATAGTTTTATTTTTGGAGCCTGCAAGTCCACTCAGTCCTATTTCTTGTTCAGCCAATTGCTCAGACAAACAAATTTGTTTATATTTGCAGGAGACAATGCTGCCCGCATCTTGTTCAAAATGTCACCTGAAAGTGAGAACAGGTGTTGTCATAGCACTGTTGTAGCTGGCGTCACAAGATATTTACATGCCAGATGTGCTAAAGATTCAGATGTCCCTTCATGCTTCAACCCCCATTCCAGAGGACATGTGTCCATGCTCATGACAGGTTCTGCTCAATAACAATCCAAAGCAGTGCAGACCAATGCATGTTCATTTTCATCTTCTGAGTCAGATGCCACCAGCAGAAGGTTGATTTTCTTTTTTGGCAGTTCAGGTTCTGTAGTTTTCGCATCAGAGCGTTGCTCTTTTAAGAGTTCTGAAAGCACGCTCCACACCTCGTCCCTCTCAGATTTTGGACAGCACTTCAGATTCTTAAACTTAGGTCGAGTGCTGTAGCTATCTTTAGAAATCTCACATTGGTACCTTCTTTGCGCTCTTTGAAATCTGCAGCGAAAGTGTTCTTAAAATGAACAACATGTGCTGAGTCATCATCCGAGACTACTATAACATGAAATATACGGCAGAATGCAGGTAAAATAGAGGAAACGTACAATTCTCCCCCAAGGAGTTGCGTTAATTAAATTTGTGATTAATTATTTTTTTAACGAGCTTCATCAGCATAGAAGCACATCCTCTGGAATGGTGGTCAAAGCATGAAAGGGCATACAAATGTTGAGCATATCTGGACCGTAAATACCTTACAATGCCGGTTACAAAAGTCCCATGTGAATGCCTGTTCTCTTTCTGGTGACATTGTAAAATAAGAAGTGGGCAGCATTATCTCCCATAAATGTAAACAAACTTGTTTGTCTTAGCGATTGGATGAATGAGAAGTAGGACTGAGTGGACTTGTAGGCTCTAAAGCTTTGCGTTGTTTTGTTTTTGATTGCAGTTATGTAACAAAAAAAATCTATATTTGTAAGTTGCACTTTCACAATAAAGAGATTGCACTACAGTACTTGTATGAGGTGAATTGAAAAATACTATTTCTTCTGTTTATCATTTTTACAGTGCAAATATTTGTAAAGTGAGCAGTGTACACTTTGAAATCAATGTATTTGAAAATGTAGAAAAATATCCAAAAATATTTAATAAATTTCAATTGGTATTCTATCATTTAACAATGTGATTAAAACTGCAATTAATCACAATTAATTTTTTTAATCAAGATTAATTTTGAGTTAACTGTGATTGATAGCCCTAATTTTAATACATTTCTCTTCACCCTGTGCAGTAGGAAAGCATTTTTCCATTTTACAAAGAGGGAACTGAGGCAGTGAGAGAATACGGACCAGTCTCAAAAGATATTTAGTCACTGAAATCAATGCAAGCTAAGCACCTAAATACCTTTGAGGATCTAGGCCAGAGTGACTTGCTCCCAGTCATGCAACAAAGTGGAGAATTGAACTTGGGTCTCTCAAGTTCCAGGCTACCATGCAAAGTCCTGAGCTAGCCATCTGCTGCAGAGGCCATTATTCCTTGCTCCATCCTGTACATACATAGCTTTTGCCACAAAGTCTTCAAGCAGCAGTATAGCTCCAACAGTTTTATGCCTCACATGGATGGATATATTTGAGCTACCCAGTCTGTCCCTCCCCCAGAGATCCTCTGATCCATTCTCCCCTGGGGGAGAGACAAGCAAGGAGGACTCAGATGCTCCCCGGGTAGGAAGAATGAATTATACTGTACCATGATCATAAGCGCTCTCTACATTCCGAACTCGCACCAACACTCCTGGGAGCAACATGCTGGCAGGCAGCAGAGAAAAGATATATCAATCTAAGTGCTATTTCCTGAAGATGTCCCAGCAGCGGAGAAAAGATATCCCAGCGGGAAGTCAGGGGCAGTCCTCCAATCCACTTCCTCTTTGTGCCATGATTCCAACCTTTCTTTAGCCTGGTGACTCTTGAATGTTTAATATGAATAAATCATTGACCAAAACATGTTTGAGAGTTACAAACCCCAAGCATGCAAAAAATCACAAGTCAAGCTCCAAAAATCACAAGATTTAAAAAAAAATCTCATGATTTTAAGCCAAATAGTAAACTTGGGGGGAGCGAGGAGGGAAAGATTCATATTTTCTTTCTGGTTTCTGAGCCTTTAGAGGTCACATTTTCAAGCTTTTCACTAGAAACTTTTTTAAAATATATGTAAACAAGAGTCTCACGTAATCATAACTTCAGGGGCTGTGAGCTGAAAGAAAACTCCATTTAGCATGAGAATTGGCAAAGCTGCAAAACCCTGATCACACAGGACTGTACATACTGACATTTCCTCATGCAGGGTCCAGTTGGGCTGGTGTTTATGTCAATGTTCTTCATATTTATTTGGTTGAAAAAATAAAAAGGAAAACAAAATTGCTTTACAATAGTGGTTTTTGTTTTAAGATATGGTTGCACCAAGAGGCCCTGACTGTAATCAAGGCCCCATTGTGCTAGAGCAGGGCATCCTCTCCTGCAATCCTCCCCTGCTCTACACTGTTATAGCATTAAGAAAATCTTAGGTCTTTAATCATCTTGTGTTGCTTTTCTCGAAATTCCCTGTTACGTATCTCCATGGCTCCAGTAGATGACTGGAACTCATCCCAATACAGCATGCTGCCATCATTTGATTTGTGCCCTCATTTAAAGTAGTGAATGGTTATTTAAAATCATGAGGGCTATATTCTGATCTCACCTGGAGCTGGGTAAAAGCAGGCTAACTCCCTTGAGTTAAATGGAACCTCGCTCCAGATTTACACCTGCATACATAGGATAAGAATCTGATCATCTGACTCCAGCCAGTTGTGTATAACATTATTATAGGGAAAACATCATTAAAAAAAGAGGCAGCATGTTTCCCTGTCGAGAAAGAATGGGCTTGTGGCACTACATTAGGTCTGAAATTGAGTGGGGAAGGAAACTGTTTTCCTGGTTCATGAACATTTAAAAAATGTTTCCCGTTCTGTACTGGGACAAAACCAAGGCATTTTTGTAAAAACCAGCCCAAGAGAGCAAGATCACAAGACAGACACCCCCCGTTCCAGAACAGTCAATAGCCCAGTAGTGAGCAGGGATAAGGGGGACCCAGCTTCAGGTCCCTGCTCTGCCTCACTTAGACAGGGCTATTGATTATTCTGAGCTCTGTCACATTTTCACCCTGGACTGGATAAACCTCTTTCAATGAAAGTTTAATTGAAGCAGATACATTCCCGCAAAAGGTTTCTGTTTTGGCTGTTTAGCATTTTCTGACAAAAAGCTGTTTCAATGCAAAATACCCAACTAGCTCATCTCAAGAAACTTGGGTTTAATTCCTAGCTCTGCTACAGACTCCATGTGTGACTAATCTCTCTGCACATGTAAAATGGGGGAAATAATCCCCTCCTTCTCCCACTTTGTATCTGTCTTTTCTACTTAGGCCCCAACCTTGCAAAGACTTATGTACATTAACTTTACACACTGCAAGTAAATCCCATGGATTTGGAATGCTGACAGTGCATAAAGTTAAGCATTTGCAACAGTCTTGCCTGGATCAG